TTCTTTAATAGTTTTCTTCCCCATTTTGATACTTTTTTGCCCTGGATAATTTAATAGTAATGAAGATTAAATAAAATGTGTCCAATGCCATTGGAATTTATGATTTTAAAAGTTAATAACAAGCCTACTATGGAATGTTTAACATGTTTATTCCATAGGAAACATGCTATCCTATAGAGGAAATTCTTAATTCAGATTGCCAAATTAATATTATTTACAGTTCTGCACTTAATTGCCAATTCACATATACCTGACCACTATGGTATTATTTAACTCAATATACATGCATAGGTTTTTCAAACAAACACAAACATTGTATGTCATGGTACAGGGTAAAACATAGGCATCTTCCTGCAGAAAAAGGCAATGCTTGTTTACCCTACCCCTCGTTTTTTAGAGGAGATAAGCAGGAAGATTTACTTCAAGAAAAGTACCAGGTTGCAGCCATTTATTGATTTTATTTTTCAAGACTGCCTGTACACCATTTCTAGGTCCCAGAAATAATAAAAATTAAGATACTATTGGCTGGTGCTCTACTATGCATGCTGGGTTCCCATGCATTTATTTTTAATTAAAAGATTTTTTAAAAAAGTAGTAGGGCAAAAATCCTGAGGGGTTCTAAGAGAGGGGATTTCAAGGCATCTTGGATGCTTCAGGGCCTTGCTGTGAATAAAAAGGCTACATTTTTGTAGATCATCATCTTACCATCATTCTAAAGGAGATTAGGAAACACTTTCTGACCACCATAAATTATGGTTAATCTTTTGCACCTAACTCTGATGGGGATAAGGATGGTATAGATGCAGATATAACAGGTTCAGAATATACTATCCCAGAAAAAAAGTGGGATAAATCTTGCTAGTCTAGACCAGGATCCAAATAGTACTGCTGAATCAGCTAAACAAGCTCACATAGAACTGTGAGTCAAAAACAAGTAATAGTGGTGGAAAGATGGCTCCTAATTTGGAATTTAAAAAAAGAACAAAGAATATACTTAAGAGATTCTACGTTATATCCAGGGGCATGTGCAAATCAAGTTTTACCCTCCTAGGAAGCATTGGATGAAAGGCAAACAAAGTTACTTACAGTCAAATCAAATTACTCTAGGAATTCAAATTAATAGAGTTGAGAAAGGAAATCCAGAATGCAGCTCTTCTCTCCCTCAGTCAGTTTCTGTACTGTGAAAAGCATTTGGATTTGCAATAGATTGAAGGACTCCCTTGTAAGAGAGACTAAACAAACCTTCTCTCACGGAAACATCCTACCGCTGCCATAATGTTGTTCAAAATGAAGCTTTTTTAAAAAACAAATTTAAGATCTTCCCATTGGTGGATTTCACACAGAGGGAGTTAGCCAATTAATAACAATCTTGGAAATAAGAGTGTTTCTACTTAAAAGTTTAATTGCAGCAGCATAGAAGTTGGTAACTCCAAGGTCTTCTATCACTATTGTCCTTGAGCAGAGATTGCCTGAATAAGCCACCTGGACCTCCCACAGCAAGTCAGTTTTCTGAAGAACCCTTTGAGACAAACTTGCTTAACTCTTTTAGTACCTTGCCAGATACTGAACAAGTGTGTATTTCAAAAAGGCTTGATTATCTGGGGGAATTATTAGCAAAACACATAAATCTGCTAAATCTCTAATAGAGTTGGTCACCCCAACTGGTCAAGATAACAATGCCTATTTTGAGAAATCATCAATTAGTTCATCCCCTATTTCAACATGGAATTTGGACAAGGAAGAGAACAACAAAAAGACCCTGGGAGTAGTTCCCACATTACTCCTTCTGCTCTCTAATAAAACATCACACCATGCAGAAAATGAAGATAACAGAAATAAAATAGAGGGCGGCAGACAAGAGGAAGCAAGATTTTGTTCTAAGGACAGGAATTAGTACTGAGAGATTACTTTGAAAACTTTTCTCTCTGGCCTTCAGTTTCAGTACCAGAAATCAAATTCATTATCCAATCTTTCCATTACAGTAATTCACAAGAAAGTTAGCTCATTAATAACTCATCTTGGAAATAAGAGTGCTTCTACTTTAAAATTTAATTGTAGCAACATGAAAGTTGGTAACTCTAAGGACTTCTATTACTACTGTCCTTGAGCAGAGATTGTCCGAATAAACCCACCTGATCTCCCACAGCAAGTCAGTTTTCTGAAGAGGCCTTTAAGGCAAACTTGATTAACTCTTTTACTACTCTGAAGATACTGAACAAGTCTTAGGTCTTACAAAAAGGCTTGATGATCTGAGGAAATTACAGGTAATCCTCAATTTACAATCAAAACTGAGCCCCAAACTTCCACTGCTAAGTAAGATAGTTGTTAAATGAGTTTTGCACAATTTTATGACCTTTTTTGTCATAGCTGTTAAGCAAATCACTGCAGCTGTTAAATGAATCATGAGGTCATTAAACAACATCTGGCCTTCCCCATTGTCTTTGCTTATTGGGAATCAGGTGGTGATTACATGACCCAGGAAGTGCAACCACCATAAATACATGCCAGTTATCAAGCACCTGAATTTTGATCACATAACCATGGGGGTGCTGCAAAAGTAAGTGTGAAAAAAATATTTTTTTAGTGTTGTTGTAACTTTGAATGGTCACTAAATGAAGGGTTATAAATTGAGGACTACCAGTATTAGAAACAACATATAAATCTGCTAAACCTCTAATACAGGGGCGTCAAACTGCCTGCCCATGGGCCAGATGCATCATAGTGAAACCACACCCACCCTATTGCTGGCAATGGCAAAAAAGTTGTGATACGTCACGACACATCACGTAACATTGTGAGTTTGACACCCCTGCTCTAATAGAAAAGCTCACCCCAACTGGCCAAAAAACAATACCTATTTGATAAACTATTTGCTGGTTCATTGCCTATTTCAACATGGAATTTGAGCATGGAAAGGAACAATAAAGAGTCCTGGGGACCTATTGAAGTTCCTCTTTAATTTTGATTTTATGGTTAACTATGGTAAAGATGAGGAAAACATTCACTCACCAGGCTTTAGATCGTGGACTATTCCTGCAAAGAATAGAAGAATAAAGGACATGTATCAGGAGGCCCGACTACACTTGCCAAGGCAGACCTAGGCTGACTGGACAGGAATTATTTAGCTGTCAAATTTGCATGTAAATTCTCTGAATTCATTCTACCAAACATGCCTTCCACTTTTTTCATAATATTTGAGTGAATCTAGAAAAGACAGAACTAAAGATAAACTCAAATACTGCTAAAGCTACTGTAATATTAGCAAGAGACTTTAATCCCAGGGTGGGAGAACTCTTCACATGATTTTGTACATTTGGATGTTATTCCTGAGGATTAGCTTATAAATATTTCACCTGACTTTCTATGAACTCCAAAATAAATGTTGTAGGCTCACAACTGGTTTCTTTGATTTACAAATGTAACTTCATATTTTAGGAAGTAAAGAACTTAATTTTATATCTTTCTACATATCATTCAGAAAACTCTAGCAGTATTTTAGATTACATATGAGTTACACAAAACAGAATTGGGCTGTTTTCAGACATCCAAGCCAATAATCAACAACAAATCATGGTCCATGTCCAAGGCAGCTCTGATACTAGTTTATCCATGCTTCCTGACAAGAGGCTATTAGCTAATCTCAAAGTGGGGTAGAATAGAAACTTCAATTGGGCCAAGGTGGATACTAAGGCAATATAAACCCGTTTGAATTCAAGACAGTCTCAGATATGAAGAAATTTAATTTCCTCCTCTACCCAAGTTAAAATGCTGACTCATTATGCTGATTTGTGTCTTTTGATGAGAATTTTTAAAGCGATAAACTTCCTAATAGAAATAAAATAAATTCAAACTGGTTCGATTCTGTTTATTTACCAGAAAGTTACCAAGAACAGCAATGTGTCAAGCCCATGTTCACCTAATATTTAAAAAAATGCTAAAATATTAAAAATAAAATATCATTACAAGAAACTGATAGCTCCTAAAAAGCTTCCCGAGATCTGGAAATTTCAGCTAAGATCTGGAATTTTCAGCAAAGGGTACAAATTAAATTTTCTTCTGAATATTGTATTGGGTTTATTGAAAGAACATACATTCCAATCTAATATTCATTTTCCAGCTTCACTTTGGGAGGATTTTTATGCAAATATATTACTAATCCTAGCCAGCTCCCCTCCCCCCAATAAGCAAACTATTGATACTCTAGCCTTTGAAAATCTTCCTTATGGGCCTCCAATGTGTCAGTATTAGAAATCAACTTTATTATCCAATCTCTAAAATCTAATAAGGTGCCTGGAAAAGATTTTCTAGTCCCAGAATTCTTCAGGACCCATAATGATTTCTGGGTGGGCCCCAATGTTAGCAGGCTGTTCTCCATCTAACTAATAAGGATTGTACCTTAGTTAGATGAGAAGTTGCCATTACAGTGCCCAAATATAAAAATGGAGACAAAGGTGACCCAAAAAACTATAGACCAATAAATTGGAATTGTGGCTAAAATGTATGCAAAATACTAGGTAATGGGATGAAATTTTTTAGTGGAAGAACAAGCTTGATTTACATCGGAGCTCTCCACAATAGACACTTGTTTTCTTTTATATCATCTCATAACAAAACAACTAACTAATGGCAACAAACTATTTACTGCTTTTGTAGATCTCAGTGTGGCTTTTGATTCTATAAACAGAAATATTTTACAGAAGAAATTGACCAACCTAAATATGGAACTCACACCCTCAGTCTTGATTAAAATACTCAACTCAAATATTCATTGGAAAGTCCAAATGGGTGTAAATGTTGTTTTTTTTTACTAAGGGTATACCTAGCCATAATGGTGTTAGATAGGGTTGTATTCTAGCTCTGATCAGTAGTGGGATTCAGCCAGTTTGCACCAGTTCAGCAGAACCGGTAGCTAATTTTTTGTCGCCCAGGCCCAGAATGGACTTCCAGAAGCAGCATCCACACATATTTGAATCCCACCTCTAGCGCTGATGCTTTCTAACCTCAAATGTCGATGAGAGCCAGTTTGGTCCAGTGATAAAGGCACCAGGGCTAGAAAGCTGGAGATTGTGAGTTCTAATCCTGTCTTAGCCAGAAAGCCAGATGGATGACCATGCACTAGTCACTTTCTCTTAGTCCACCTTACTTCACAGAGTTGTTGTGTGTAAGATTACCATCTTACCATCATTCTAGAGGAGATCAGGAAATATATTTCAGAGGTCACAGATGATTGTACAAAAGTAAATAAAAGAAAAGTTGCTCTTAAAATGATTTCAAGGGATTTTCTGCTGGCAACCAAAAATAGCTGTTAATTTAGATTGTTTTTAAAGTTAAATGCTAATATCACCAATTCTACTTGCTCAAGGCTTGGCTATCTTGCAGAAATTATGAGCACAGGTTGAATTGCTGATTCAACCTGTGCTCATAATTACTGGCACATGCAGTATTGATCTGTGATTTCTGCACAAACACGTCTGCCTCTTCCTGCTATTTTAATATTTGTTTCTCTAAACATATTAATCTTTTCTTCTTCAAATTGATGCTAAATTTCAGAAATACATTAAAAACTAGTAAGAGTAAGAACATGTTCTGAATGTTATGTTAGGGCAGAAATATAAGACAAAGGGGAAGAAAGTGGGGAGTGTGTGATTTGGGCATACACATGTGTAAACATATGCAGAGAAGTGTAGGAGAAAACCAAAGGCTGAATTTGATTAGCATTCCTCAATGTGCTCCAGTATATAATTGGATGAGAGCTTTCTCTTTTTTAAGTATTGTTGCAATGCTTTGATGATGATCTTGATTATAATTCTAACTCTGCAATAATGGCAGCAATCTCCAATACATTTGAGAAGTAAAAAAATTGCTGAAATAGCATTATTAATTCTGAATATTCTTAATAGGTATTATTAATGGAGTAAAGAAAGCACAGAAGTGTGAGTATGTTTGCACCACAGAAGTGTGAGTATGTTTGTATTTAAAGTACAGGTAGTCCTTGACTTACGATCACAATGGAGCCCAAAATTTCTGTTGCTAAGTGAGACGGTTGTTAAGTGAATTTTGCCCCATTTTACAACCTTTCCTGCCACAGTTGTTAAGTGAATCACTGCAATTGTTAAGTTAGTAACACCACTGTTAAGTGAAACTGGCTCCCCTTTTATTTTGCTTGTTAGAAGTTCACAGAAGGTGATCACATGACTCCAGGATGAACCAATGATGATCATTTGACCATCAAAATGCTGCAATTTTCTTACATGTGAAAATGGTCATAAGTCACTTTTTTCAATGCTGTTGTAACTTTGAACAGTCACTAAACGAACAGTTGTTAAGTCAAGGACTACCTGTAGTTCTAGATAATGACGTAATCTCCCCATTAAAACAAGATGATGAAGAGAAAGAGAAGGAAGATAATGTTTGAAAATGGCAATAAACTCTAGAGATGTCACAGTTATGGAAAAAGTTGCTAATTGTTGGAGTAAATGGACAAGGATTTTAGTTTGAGATATTTAAAACATTTCCAATGCTTCACTTTTCCCCTTAAAGTTTCTTCCAAATCTAACCTTTTTGATAAAGGACAAGTCATGCAAGTGATTTTAAGAAAACCTAAGTGGGCCCAGCTAACTTCCCAACCAGGTAGGGCTTACCTATCATAAATCCGAATGTGTGCAGGAATGGCACTGATGAACCCCACCAGTTTCCTATTGGATGACACCCTGACACCACAGTGCCACTGCAGAAGCCAACCTGGTGGTCTAAGGGCCCTAAAAGAGTGGGGAAAAGCGGGGGACTTCCGGTGGTTAAAGCGGTGGAGATGGCGGCTACTTTGTAGCCGTCCTCCTGAGAAGGTGTCAGATCCGCGGAGCACAGCGTTTACCAGCTGGCCCGCGGCTCGCAATCCCCTTCCCGGGCGAAGGGAAGGGGTAGAGATCGCATGAATAGAGGTAGAACCTCTTAACTCTCCCTGGATTTTTATTTTTAGGGGGGTAGAAAGAGGGTTCCCTCGGAGTTCATTGCCTTCTCCGCCTCTCAGCTGTCTTTGTTTCTTCGGAAACAAAGCGAGACGCCGCTACCATCTCCGTACTTAAAGAAACCGTGAGTAATCTTAAACCGGACAGAACTGTTTAAAGGATTTTATTTATAGTTTAGCTTTATTTTATTTTTTTTTAGTTTATTTAGTTTATTTAGTATGTGTTGATTTTTTTTTTATTTTTTTGAGCTTTCTCTTTTTTTTTCGGGCGGAAAAGTGAGAGTGAAAGTAAAATGGCGTTTTGAAAGTTTTTTCCTTTAAAAGACGGATCGGCTGAATTGTTGTTTAATACTGCTTTTTTTTTACTTTTTTACTTTTTTATTCTTGGGGACTTTTAGATTGATCTTATTTTATTCTATTTTATCTTATTTTTAATTTTTTTTTGGATTACTTATTTTTATTGGTATTTTTAAGAAGAAAGGAAGATAAATTAAAATGGCTTCAAAACGACAACCAGCTACTGCAGCTTCTAAAGTAACTTCTTCTCCTGCTACTTCTACTGTGCAACAACAACTTAAAATAATACCCTCAGTGCAGCAACCTAAATCCACTCCACCTTCACCTCCCCCATCTGGCACATCAGCACAAGACATTAAAGAAATAATGGTAAGTGCCGTCTCACAGTTTAGGGAGGAAATGAAACAACTTTTGGACCAGAATAAATCTGAAACTAAGGAGGAAATGAAGAAAGAGATGAAGGAGCTTTTAGAACAGAATAATGCTATTTTGAGGGATGATATACTTCTAGCTCTATCTGGAATGGCCTCAGTGGTTGTGAAGCTGGACTCCAGAGTAGAGGAAATTGAAGAAACAGTTGAACTTTTGGATTATAAATTTCAAGATATGGAGAAAAAAGTGGAGACTTCACAAGATGATATTCTTATGTTCCAGTATAGACAGATGGAATATGCTTTGAGAATAAGGGGTCTGAAAGAAGATAAAACTCAAGATTTGATGGAAATGGTGATTAATGACTTGGCTGTTATTTTGAATATTGATAAAGAAGAGTTACGTGGGGATGTGGAAAGAATTTATAGAGTTAATTCTTGGATTGCAAAACAGAGGAATTTGCCTAGAGATGTGGTGATATATTTTGCTAAGAAGTCTCTGCGAAATCAGATTCTACAAATTTTTTATAATAAAAGATTTCAGATTGCTGCCCAAGATATTATTATTTTAAAGGAAATTCCACCTAAAATTTTAAGAAGCAGAAAAGATTTTGCTTTTTTAGCAAATGAACTTAAAGCAAGACAAATGCCATTTAGATGGGAGATTCCGATGGGCATTGTTTTGAGCCATGCGGGGACACGTTATAGACTTAATACAGTTGCTAAAGCTAAGGAATTTTATAAAACGGTCCTGGGAGCAGGCTCTCCTTTGCCCATGATGCATAAAGTCTTGAGTGACAAAGGGATGGAACAGAAATCTGAAGGTACAGGGATGATGACTGCTGGACAGGTGGTATGGATGTCTCAACCAGAGGTTAAAGAACAGAGAATGACCCGTGCAGCACATAAACGTAAAGAAAAAGAACAACAGAAAAAAGAAAAAGAAAAAGAAATTGAAGAATCTACTCAGCAAATTGCTTCAGTGCCGGTGGGAGGAGCAAGACCCAAAAGCTCTGCTACATATTCATCAGCAGCAGAATTTGAGCGGATCTTCTCCAGGCTGAAGGCCAAGGGAGATGGCAAAGCTCCTGTCCTGGAATGTTAATGGATTAAACATTCCTCAAAAGAGAAAAAAAATTTACCACTATTTGAAACAACATAACAATGATATTATTTGCTTGCAAGAAACTCATATTACAGCTAAAGATCAAAAATATTTAAATAATCCTCGCTTGGGATCTCATTTTGTATCTCCCGCCCCTGGGAAGAAAGGGGGTGTGGTAATCTATGTTAAACAGAATTTATCTGCTACCTTGTTAGAATCAGATCCTTACGGAAGATATGTTATGCTTGAACTTGGTTTATATGGCAAGAAAATTCTTATTGTGGGGTTGTATGCACCAAACCAGCAACAGGAGCAATTTTATAGGTTACTACATCAGAAAATAACTTTGTTGGACTATAGATCTGTGATTTTAATGGGAGACTGGAATGGTGTCTTAGATATACAAATGGACAAAAAAGGCTCTTCTACCTTTTTTAAACAGGCTAAATTACCTAAAGCCTTTTTTGATATGAAAGAAGATTGGGAATTGAGAGACTATTGGCGTGAACGTAATCAAGAAGAAAAGGATTTTACGTTTTTCTCAGATAGACACCAATCTTTCTCAAGAATTGATTTCTTTTTGATCACAACAGATTTATACAACAGGGTGAAGAATGTAAAAATTTTTCCTAGGACATTGTCCGATCATAGTCCAGTTTGGATGGAACTGTTTGTAGAGAAGGAAGATAGGAGATCCTGGAGGGTGAATGAGAATTTATTTAAACAAGAAAAAAATGTTCATAAATTAAAGGAATGTTTAAAGGAATATTTTACTTTAAATATGAACAAGGGAACATCAATGTCAATGGTCTGGGATGCAAGTAAAGCTTTTATGCGTGGTATTTTGATAAAAATGAATAATTTGCATAGACAGAAACAGACTCAGAAACGGAAAGACTTGGAAGAGGAGATTAAATTAAAAGAGAAACTTTTAATTTCAAATCCCTTAGATGAAAAGGTTAAAGGAGCTTTAAAATTGTTAAAAACACAATTTAACATGCTGATGGCTGATCAAGCTGCAACTAATTTGCTATTTATGAAACAAAATACATTTTGTAATGCTAATAAACCAGGGAGATGGTTGGCTTATCAGTTAAGAAAAAAACAGAAACAGAGGAATATAGATAAAATAAATTATAATGGTAAATTGGTTTATCAGAAAGAATTGATTAAGAAATCTTTTTTAGAATACTATCAAAAATTATATAAGGGTACTAATATTCAAATTACAGATATAAATAATTATTTAGGCAAAGTTAACTTTCCTAAATTAACAGAAGATCAGGAAAAAAAGATTAACGGTTTAATTACTAAGGAAGAAATTGTTACAGCTATTAAACAATTGAAATTGGGCAAAGCGCCGGGTACGGATGGGTTGACATCTATTTATTATAAAGCTTTAGTAGAAGAGATGATTCAACCGTTGTGTGAACTGTTTAATAATTTATTACAGGGGTTAGAGATCCCTCCATCCTGGCGTAATGCATTTATATCATTGATTCCAAAAGATAGTCAAGATCTTACTTTGCCTAAAAATTATAGGCCTATATCTCTTTTAAATGTGGATTATAAAATTTTTGCAAAAATTTTAGCTAACAGGCTTATGGGGATCTTGCAGCAGTTTATACATAGGGATCAATCGGGTTTTATAACTGGAAGGTATATGAAGAATAACGTTAGACAAATTATTAATTTATTAGAGTATTTAGAAAAGAATAACCAAGTCTCTGCAGGCCTGATATTTTTGGATGCTGAAAAAGCCTTTGACCAAGTGAATTGGCAGTTTATGCTGTGTTTAATTAAGGAGATGAATTTTGGACAAAATATATTACAAGTATTATCCAATATATATCAAAAACAGACTGCTCAAATTATTGTAAATGGGGGTTTGTCAGAGGCTTTTGTAATAGAAAAAGGAACAAGACAGGGATGCCCGTTGTCTCCGTTATTGTTTGTTTTAACACTGGAAATTTTGTTGATTAAAATTCGGGAGTCTCAAGAAATAAAAGGAATAGAAATTAATAAAAAAGAATATAAATTAAGAGCCTTTGCAGATGACTTGGTTGTTACTTTGTCTCAACCTGTTTCTTCGGTGGTGAAATTATTACAATTGATTCAACAATATGGACGTGTTTCTGGCTTTAAAATTAATAATAATAAGACCAAAATATTAGCTAAAAACATGACTAATGGTGATAAACAGGCTTTAGTTAACTTAACAGACTTTGAAATTGTTGATAAGGTAAAATATTTGGGGGTTACATTATCTGCTTCTAATGTAAAATTGTATAAAAATAATTATGAAAAGCTGTGGATGGAGGTACAGAAGGATTTAAAAAACTGGAATAATTTACAGTTATCCCTTATGGGCAGAATTGCAGTTATTAAAATGAATGTCCTGCCAAAGTTTATTTTTTTGTTTCAAATGTTACCTATTTTAAAGAACGAACGTAATTTAGATGAATGGCAAAAAGGTATTAATAAATTTGTTTGGGCAGGGAAAAAACCAAGGGTGAAACTTAAAATAATGCAAGATTTTCGTGAGAGAGGTGGACTCAAGGTACCAAATATGAAATTGTATTATGATGCTGTAGTATTGACATTGATTAGCGACTGGGTGAATTTAACAAATACAGAAATACTTCATTTGGAAGGCTGGGACCTACTTTTTGGATGGCATGCCTACTTAATATTTAATAAAAAAGTGGATTGGGTTTTTAAGTCTCATATTATAAGAAACTCTTTGCTAAGAGTGTGGAGAAAGTATTATAAAAGTGACTTCAAAATACCATTATGGGCTATACCTCGGCATGCCATAGAAGGTATAAGGAAAGGGGTAAATATGGACAAGGTCTCTTACGTACAGTTACTAAGATGGGATGGCCAAGACTGGCAGTTAAAATCTTTGGAAGAATTAACACATGAAAATTTAACTTATTCATGGTTCCAATATAGACAAATAGTGGATAGATGGAAGATGGATTGTAAAATGGGCTGGCTTAGAGAAGATGAAATTTTTTTAAAACAAGTAAGAGATCAAAGGCCAACCCATATTAAGAGAGTTTATGGGGTTTTAGTGGAATTAGATTCAGAACCTGAACTAGTTAAAGATTGTATGATTAAATGGGCACAGAATATTGGTGAAACGATTTCAATGGATACTTGGGAACTTATTTGGATAAGAAATGTTAAATTCACACAAGCGCAAAATTTAAGAGAGAATTTTTATAAGATGTTTTATAGATGGCACCTTGACCCAAAGAAAATGTCCATTATGTACCCTAATCTACAGCCGAAATGCTGGAGATGTGGATATTTGGATGCTACCTATTACCATATTTGGTGGACGTGTAAGCATATAAAAGCTTTTTGGATTAAGATATGGTGGAATATTCAAAGAATTTTTAAAAGGAGGGTAAAATTTACTCCGCAATTATTTTTACTAGGTATTGTTATTGACTGTGATGCTAAGGAGGTTATATTGATGTTAAATTTGATTACAGCCGCTAGGTTGTTAATAGGACAATATTGGAAGAAGGAATCTTTGCCTACTTTACAAGAATGGTTTCATAAAGTTTCGTATTTGGCAGAAATGGCAAAGATTTCGGCTTTCTTAAAGGAGCAATCTCAAGAAAAATTTTTGCGGTATGGGAAAAATGGATAAATTTTATACAACATAATTTGGATATGGAAAAATATTATTTAGCCTTTTTATAATTTGTAATGATTGTTTTTTCTTTCTTTCTTTCTTCTTTTTCTTTTTTATATATATACATTTTTTACGTATTATTATTCATATATATTTTTTTTTATATATATATATGCTTTATTCTTCGTCTACTTTCTTCTTTCTTCTTTCTCTCTCTCTCTTCTTTTTTTATTTTTTTTTTCTTTTTTAGTATATATTATTCATTTTAAAGTTTATGTTATGTATATTATTATTATATATATTATTACTGTGATTTTTATTATTATTATTAATTATTTTATAAATTGCAAATGTTATTTTTAAAATATTTGTTAAATAATCCTATATTCAGTTCTGGGAAGTCGGGGGGGGGGTGGGGTGGTTGGGGAGGGGGGGGTGGATTCTTATTTGTAAAACTTTTGAAAAATTTCAATAAAAAAAAAAAAAAAGAGTGGGGAAAAGCATGAAAGTAATCATTATGTCTTTTTTTTATTGAAAGTTTTTTGAAATTTTACAGAAAAAAAATTCCCCTCCCCAAACTCTCCCAACCCACCCCAACCCTCCCCCAACCTTCCCAGAGCTGAATACAGGCTTAATTAAAACTTAAAAGAAAAAATTTTAAACACATGTAAACCATAAGCAATTAATTATAATAATTAAACAAATTATAAAATACTTTAAGACCAATATATAAAAACCAAAAAAAATTATATCTAAACATACTCTACCTATCTAAAATTTTCATTCAATCTCCATAATATCATACTTATATTATATAAAATCTATCCCTTTTTCTTTGTCATCAAACTCAAAAATACACATATAAACATTAATTATACCATTAAAACAGAATATTCTTTTAAATACTCCTTGAATTATTAAACTTAAACTTCTTATCTAGAATTTTCATTCAATCTCCATAATCTTCTCTCCTCTTTATAAATTATTCAGAAAAAAAACTAAACCTTTTCTAATGTCATACTTATATTATTTAAAGTTTATCCATCATTCTTTATAAACACCCTCAAAAACACACATATAAACATTACTTATAACATTAAAGTTCCCTTATACATATTTAAAACAAAATATTCCTTTAGATGCTCCTTAGATATCTAAACATACATTACCTATCTAAAATTTTCATTCAATCTCCATAATATCATACTTATATTATATAAAATCTAATCTATCCCTCTTTCTTTATCATCAAACACAAAAATAAACATATAAACGTTAGTTATACCATTAAAACAAAAATATCGTACTTATATAAAATCTAATCTACCCCTCTTTCTAGTAATCATTATGTCTTAACTTTTATAGAATATGGGGAGTCCTCAACTTACAACCACCCATTTAGCAACCGTTCAGAGTTATAATGACACTGAAATAAGTGACTTACAACCGATCCTCAGACTTATGACTGTCACAGCAGCCCCATAGTCACGTGATCAAAACTTGAGGGTCCTAGGGTCAAGAGAGCTTTGCAACCTTTCTAGCCAGCTTCCAACAAAATCAATGGGGTTCGCTTAATAACCTGCTTAACAATCAAGGCAAAAAAGGTTGTAAAATTGGGCATGACCCACTTAACAACTGCCTTGGAAATTTTGGTCCCAAATGTGGTCATAGGTTGAGCAGTATCTGTACTGTAAATTTTCTAGGCATCAAATATGGGGGGGGGGGAATTCACTGTAATTCCTCCTTGTTGTCTAGCAAGAGAGATGAGGGAAAAGGGCTGAGAAAAGCACTGGCCAATGACAACATTACTTCTCCCCAGACCACCCCCTTGATGTATATGGAAACTGGGACTCACCACAAAAGGAATTCTGATGAATAATCAAATCTAAACATGTTATCGTCATCTTCAACATAATTTTCATTTAGCAGCATGTACAACTCTTTTAACTGGAAAAAAGGGTAGAGAGAAGCCATCAATTGATTGAATCCAACAGCTCACTTTGCTCTGAATTTGAACACCTGACTTATCTTAAGAGAAACAGTCCACTTAGCCAAACCAAACTCATCAATTGTCACCAGAGTCATAACGCACAAAATTTATTCCTTTCCACCCTCTTGGTTTCAACATATCTGAGGTTTAGTTATTTATTTCTTCCACAGCTCATTCTTGGCTGTGCTACTTATAGGGAATTACTAGCTTGAAGTCGCCCAATGAGCTTTCGTGACTGAGAGTAGAATCCAGGCCTTCCGCTCCTAGCCCAAGGCCTTCACCACTATGCCATCCTGGCTCACAATCTTAACATTGGTTGATAAGGTCCAATAAGGTCCTGTGGTTAAAGCTGTTCCTTGGCTATTTGGAGAGTGGGCAAAGTCAGTTATATCAGTTTTCAATCAATGAAAATCCAGAGGATTAAATGGTCTCAATTCTGTTCTGTATTTCAGCTGTTTTGCTCTCAGTTCTATTCTGTTCTGTAGCTCAGCATTTTTTCCGGGCGGGAGGAAGGAAGAGGGGTGTTTTTTGCTATTTTCTTCCCCAGAAAAAGAAGTGGCACCCTAACAGAGTGGTCCAAAATAAGATGGAGAACTATGTGTTCAGGAGGGGACTTCTGTTTCTCCCCGGTTCATGTCCATTGATAATTGCACTACACTGGTAGAATGCATAACACAACACACACACAAATACACAAACATGAAACCAGGTTTGTAATTGAAAAACTGTAAGGAACTCTACTTACAACTTCAGCACTGCTCAGATTCATCGTGTCCCCAGTAAAAACCTCCGGTAAAGAATATGGCTCTAGGCGAATGTTATCATTATCTGATTCAATAGCACGATGAGATGTTATAATTTCATCTTAGAGAAAAAGAAGGTAAGTTTGATAGTTTTTAAATCATCTTTTCTGCTTTCGGGGAAGTTGAGAGAAGATTTAGTAAACAAAAATTAGAAGTCTATGACCAAATTCATTTTATGTCAACTAGATTGCTTGTGTGGAGAGTGAAAGTAAAATGGTTTGAAAGTGCTTTTTTTTTTTTTTCTCGGAAGAAAGCGAGTCAAACGGAATGTTATGGACTATTTAATTTTTTCCATTTAAACTTTTTAAACTTTTTTTTTAGAAGGTGGTTTTGTGTTTTTGAAATAGCTTTTAAACTCTCCTTTGCTTTTTATTTTTTAGAGGATTTTTTATTGTATTTTCTTTAAGAAGGAAGAAGAGGAAATAAGATTTTTCCTTTTTTAAAAAATGGCTTCAAAGAGGCAAGCAGCTTCTACAGTTCCTAAGGTGGCTTCTTCCCCTGCGATCTTACCGGTACAACAACCTAAAGCTACACCGGTACAACAACCTAAAGTTACACCACCATCTTCTCCTCCTCTGCCAGTACTATCTGTACAAGACATGAAAGATATAATGGGAAATGCTGTATCTCAAATCAGAGAGGAAATGAAGGACCTTTTAGATCAGAACAAAACTGAAATTAGAGGGGAAATGAAGGAGCTTTTAGATCAGAATAAAACTCAAATCAGAGGAGAAATGAAGAATCTGTTAGAGCAGAATAACACTATTCTGAGGCAAGATATAGTTATGGCTCTATCAGGACTGGCTTCTGTGGTTGAGAAGCTTAATTCAAGGGTTGAAGAGGTTGAGGAAAAGGTTGATACCCTGGAAGATAAATTTGAAGGCATGGAAAAAAAGATGAAAATTTCACAAGATGACATTGTTATGTCTCAGTATAGGGAAATGGAATACGCTTTAAGAATCAGGGGTCTGAAAGAGGATATGCAACAAGATCTGGCAGAAATTGTGGTAAATGACTTTGCTGTTATTCTGAATAGGGAGAAAGATGGAATACTTAGAGAAGTGGAAAAAGTTTACAGAGTTAATTCCTGGGTCGCAAAACAGAAGAATTTACCAAGAGATGTGGTGATTTATTTTGCAAAGAGATCTCTGCGTAATGAAATTATACAAGCTTTCTATAATAAGAGGTTTCAGATTGCTGCTCAAGATGTCATTATCTTAAAGGAGATCCCATCTAAAATTTTAAGAAAGAGAAAAGATTTTGCTTTTCTAGCTAATGAACTTAAAACAAGAATGATGCCATTCAGATGGGAGATTCCGACGGGTATTGTTGTGAGCCATGCAGGGACGCGTTACAGACTCAATACAGTTACTAAAGCAAAGGAGTTTTACAGTTCGGTCCTGGGAGCAGGCTCACCATCATTTATGATGCAGAAAGCTTTGGATGGTAAAGAGGTGGAACAACAGTCTGAAGGACAAGGTGTGATGGTTGCTGGAAAGCCACAGGTGGAGTGGTCACGACAAACAGAGATCAAAGAGCAAAGAATGACCCGTGCAGCACATAGACGCAAGGAAAAGGAACAACAGAAGAAAGAAGTTAAAGAATCTCTTCAAGAAATTGCTTCGTTGCCGGTGGGAGGAGCAAGACCCAAGAGTTCTGCAGCACATTCTTCTATGGCAGATCTTCAAGCAGTCTTCTCCAGGCTCTTGGTTAAGGGAGATGGTAAAGCTCCTGACCTGGAATGCTAATGGCCTTAATTCCCCCCAAAAGAGAAAGAAAATCTTTCATTACTTAAAGCAACATAATAATGATATTATTTGTTTGCAGGAAACACATATTTTATCTAAAGACCAAAAACATTTAGCCAATGCTCGTTTGGGATCTCATTTTGTATCTTCTGCTCCTGGGAAAAAAGGGGGAGTAGTCATTTATGTTAAGCAAAATTTATCAGCCTGTTTGGTAGAATCTGATCTTCAAGGGAGATATGTTATGATTGAGGTTGGTTTATATGGGAAGAAAATACTTATAGTGGGGTTGTATGCACCAAACCAACAACAGGAACAATTTTACAGATTGTTACATCAGAAATTAATTTTGTTGGATTATAGATCTGTGATATTAATGGGTGATTGGAATGGTGTGTTAGATATACAAAGAGACAAAAAAGGATCTTCTACTTTTTTTTAAACAGGCTAAACTACCTAAAGCCTTTTTTGATTTGAAAGAGGACTGGGAGCTGAGAGACTACTGGCGGGAACACAATCAGGAGGAGAGAGACTTTATTTTCTTTTCAGACAGACACCAATCCTTTTCAAGAATTGATTTTTTCTTGATTACAACTGATTTATATTTTAGGGTAAAGAATGTTAAGATTTTTCCTAGGACTTTGACGGACCACAGTCCAGTTTGGATGGAGTTGGCGGATGAAAAAGAGGAGAGGAGATCGTGGAGGATTAATGAGAATTTATTTAGACAAGAAAAGAATGTTCAAAAATTAAAGGAGCATTTAAAGGATTATTTTGTTTTGAATATTCATAAGGGAACATCAATGTCAATGGTATGGGATGCAGGTAAAGCCTTCATGCGTGGGATCTTGATACAAATGAATAATACTCACAGACAAAAGCAGATTCAGAAACGTAAGGATTTGGAAGACGAGATTAAATTAAAAGAAAAAATTTTGATTTCAAATCCTACAGATGAAAAGGTTAAAGAATCTATAAAATTGCTTAAATCACAATTTAATATGTTGATGGCTGATCAAACTGCAACTAACTTACTGTATATGAGACAAAATACATTTTGTAATGCTAATAAACCAGGGAGATGGTTGGCCTACCAACTTAGAAAGCAACAGAGACAGAGAATTATAGATAAAATAAATCATAATGGTAAATTGGTATATCAGAAGGAGTTGATTAAGAAATCTTTTTTAGATTATTATCAAAAATTATATAAGAGTACTAAAATACAGGTCTCAGATATAGATAATTATTTAAATGAAGCCAACTTCTCTAAATTAACAGAAGATCAGAAACAAGAAATTAATAGAGTTATTACAATTGATATATCAATATGGATGGGTTTCGGGTTTTAAAATTAATAACAATAAGACTAAAATATTACCCAAAAACATGACTAATATGGATAAGCAGATTTTGGTTAATCTGACAGATTTTGAGGTTGTTGATAAGGTAAAATATCTGTCTCTAATGTAAAATTGTATAAAAATAATTATGAAAGGTTGTGGGTCAGGATACAAAGAGACTTGAAAAATTGGGAGAAGTTGCAATTATCTCTTTTGGGAAGAATTGCAGCGATTAAAATGAATGTCCTGCCTAAATTCCTTTTCTTATTTCAAATGATACCTATCTTAAAGAATGAGGTCAATTTAAATGAATGGCAGAAAGGTATCAATAAATTTATCTGGGCGGGGAAAAAACCAAGAGTAAAGCTTAAAATTATACAAGATATTCGTGAGAGAGGTGGACTCAAGGTACCGAATTTGAAATTGTATTATGATGCTGTGGCCTTAACATTAATTAGTGATTGGGTTAATTTAACAAATGTAGAAATACTCCTCTTGGAGGGTTGGGATTTACTTTTTGGATGGCATGCCTATTTAATTTTTAATAAAAAAGTTGACCGGGTTTTTAAATCCCATATTATAAGGATTTCTTTACTTCGGGTTTGGAGGAAATATTACAGAAGTGATTCTAAAATACCATTATGGGCTATACCTTGGCATGCGATAGAGGGGATAAGGAGAGGAGTTAAGATGGATAGTGTTTCTTATGCACAATTGCTTAGATGGGATGGTAAAATTTGGCAGTTAAAATCTTTGGAAGATTTAGCACAAGAAAATATTATATATTCATGGTTTCAGTATAGACAAATAGCGGACAGATGGAAGATAGATCGTAATGTGGGCTTGCTTAGAGAAGATGAAAATTTTGTTAAACAAGTAAAAGATCAAAGACGAACTCATATTAAGAGAATTTATGGGTTGCTAGTAGAATTGGACTCAGAACCAGAATTAATTAAAGAATGTATGATTAAATGGGCACAAAATTTTGGTGAACCAATTCTACTAGATACCTGGGAAATTATCTGGGTGAGAAATGTTAAATTTACACAAGCCCAGAACTTAAGGGAGAATTTTTATAAAATGTTTTATTGATGGCACCTTGATCCACAAAAAATGTCTCGTATGTATCCTGACTTACAGCCCAAATGTTGGAGATGTGGTTGTTTGGATGCTACTTATCACCATATTTGGTGGTCGTGTAAAAATATAAAAGCCTTTTGGATTAAGATATGGTGGAATATTCAAAGAATTTTTAGAAGGAGGGTAAAATTTACCCCACAATTGTTTTTGTTAGGTATTGTTACCGATTGTGATACTAAGGAGGTTATATTGATGTTAAATTTAATTACAGCCGCAAGTTGTTAGTAGGGCAATACTGGAAGAAGGAATCCTACTTTGCAAGAGTGGTTTTTTAAAGTATCCTATCTGGCGGAAATGGCAAAGATTTCAGCTTTTTTAAAGGATCAATCGCAAGAGAAGTTTTTTATGGTATGGGAAAAATGGATAGATTTTTTACAACATAAGTTGGATATAAAAAAATATTACTTAGTTTATCAATAATTTATATACAAATTTTAATATTTTATAGATTGTATTATTTCTTTTTCTTTTTATATGTTTTATTATTATTTTACTTTCTTATATTTCTTTTCTTCTTTCTTTCTCTTTATTCTTCTTTTTTTAAGTATTTTCTTTTCTTTAATATTTATGTCTTTTATATATATATATTATTGTTAATTATTCTATTAGTAGTTTAAGTAACGTATTTAGACTTATCTATGGTTTATATTTTTTTTAAGAATTCAAAAAAATTTAATTAAGCCTATATTCAGCTCTGGGAAAGTTGAGGGAGGGAGTGGGAGGGTTGGGGTGGGTTGGGGAGGGTTGTTTTTTCTTATTTTGTAAAATTTTAAAAATTTTCAATAAAAAAAATAATGTCACTGTATTTTTTCCTAAAGATTTGATTGTATTATAATAATTTTGTCAGGGAAAGAATCTACAGCAGGGGTCTTCAAACTTGGCCCTTTTATGACTTATGGACTTCAACTTCCAGAATTCCTCAGCCAGCGTGCGTGGCTGAGGAATTCTGGGAGTTGAAGTCCACAAGTCATAAAAGGGCCAAGTTTGAAGACCCCTAGTCTACAGAATTTCAATACATGTTATGGAAC